ACTTAAATGTAAAGTGCACAAAGGGCACAGATCATAAGGGTAGCGGCCAATGAAGTTTTTATAAATATATACACTCACGTAACCACTGACCTTTCCAAGTACCCAGAAATTGCCCTGTGTGCCGTTTCCCCGTCAGTTCCCCTGTCCCAGTCCCAGAAGCAACCGCTTGAGCTCATGCCCATAATTATAGAGTAGTTGTGCCTGCTCTTGAACTTCATAGAAACAAAAGCTTACAGCCGGTCTTCTGTGTCTCACTTCTTTAGCTCTTTATGCCTGTGAAAGTCGTTCATATTGCATGTAATAGGACTTTGCTTTACAAGAACTCCTAAAGGATCTCCTACCGGTTGGTTTTCATGCCGGTTATTTTGCAATATCTAAAACAAGACTGAGTTTCCTAGTAAACACACAGTGAACTTTGAGGATAATGGAGGCTCTGAAGTGCTTAAAGTTACAGTGGCATGTTTTTATGATGGGAGTGATGAGGGGGGAAAGGAGACTTGGGAAGAGGGGGTGCAGACCAGGTGGAGAGAGGGGTTGGGACGGAGCTGAAGACGGGCTTTATTGTGGTTAAAGAAAAGAGTCTTATTATTTGACATTCCCTCCGAACTGTAAAAGCCACTCCCCTGGTTTGTATATATTGGCAGCCACCCGACACAGCACAAAAGCTGAAAACAGGTCTTTGGACTCCTATCTGATGTTGATGTGGATCGTAAAGCTTCCTTCATGCCCCCGAGTAAAGAACTGGCCAAATACTAAGTAAAGAACTGGCCAAATACTGGTGCTGGTTGTTCTAAGTGGGTGGGGCAAGTGGGAGAGGAGGGCGATGGGCGGTTGGGGCCAAGAACGTTGGGGAAGCAAGAGGAGCCCGGCGGCCGGACGGGCGCAACACTGTGATTTATAGTAAATACATGTTTATTTGGTCTTCCCTGTTCCTGGCACAGAACTCCTAAAACCCTTGGAATTTTCTGGGATGCGAGTGCGAAAAAGTCTCTCGTTAATAAGGTGACTTTCTGAAAGCACCTAGGTAACCTGAGCATGGGGTTGGTGGCCAGGAGGCTCAACCATAGGATGCAGGGATGGAATTTCAGTCCCGCCATCCCTCCGGCCCACCTCTGGGGAGGGGCGAGGGGCTGGAGGTTGAATCAATTGCTAAATGGCCACCGATTCAATCAACTATGACGACGTAATGGACCCTCCATAAAAAAAACAAAAAGGGGGGTGCTGAGGTGTCCAAGAGCGGCCAGGAGGTGACTCCGTGGACAGGCTGGGCAGCGGCCTGCTCAGAGAGCGTGGGCACTCAGATCCCCTTCCGCTCAGGTCGCCCTCTGCATCCGTCCCGCCTGGCTGCCCCGAGTTACATCCTTTTATAATAAGCTGGTGATCTGGTCTGCGAAGTGTTTCTCTGGATTTCTGTGGGCCCCTCTAGCAAATTCACGGAACCCATGGAGGGGGTTGTTAGAACCTCTGACCTGTAGCCTGTCAGAGGCACCGGTGACAGCCCGGACTTGGAGCTGTTGGCCCAAGTGAGGGGACAGTGTCCTGGGACTGAGCCCTTGACCTGCTGAATCTGAGTATCTCCAAGTAGACAGTATCAGAGTAGTTTCCTGCTGTTGGCGTGAGAAATGTCCAGACCTGTAGAGAATTTTTATGAGTTTACTTGAGCCAAACTGACGACAGTTGCCAGGAAGCAACATCTCAACGGACTGAGCAAATGCTCCAGAGAGTGGCAGGTTGCAGTTTATCTTACACGCTAGAATCAAAGAAAGCGACGTAAGGAGCGTTACATGACATTCCCTGGTGGCAGATTAGGGAGGCCTGAGAAAGCAGAGGGGGGACTCTCTGGGGTCATATAAAGAGGAAGCTGGAGAGGCAAATACTCTTACACTGGCCGGTGCAAGATTGCTGTCAATGTGTGCGGCACGTACAGCCGGCGTCGGGAACAAGCTTGCAGAAAGGGGTCCTGGGCTCTGCTGGGTGACTGTGTCCTGAGGGGTCTGGAAAAGGGGATTTTACTGTGACATCCTGACGGCACATTACCGTGGATGCAAGAAGACAATGGACAGGCTCAGTTAAGTTAAACACTGACCTTTGTCAAGGAAAATACCGGCGTGACTACTCACCATGACTCACTTGTAGTTAGGAAGCTTTAATTTTAGGCCATCCTATGTGGTTACTTTTGGTTCCTCAGTTTGTAAGGCCGCCACGCAGGCCTCCCCTCAGCCTGTCAGGGTCAGTGTGCGACCCCTTTTTCATCCACAATATTCAACAAAATCTCACTCATGCGATTCCTGTAGGACTCCCAGCCGGGGTCCGAGAATTGCTTGATGTGAAGAAAAACCCGTCATAGGAACTGTTGGCCTGATAGTTAGCAGTCAGGGTGCTGGTGTCAGGGGGAGGGGGGCAGCATCTGAAGAGCAGCCCCTCAGGGGAGGCCTGTGGGAGCACTAACACAGGGGCACACTGCTCTGCAGTGCAAAAGCAGGGGGACCCGGGTGGCTCTCCTGGCCGCTGCGCGGACCCAGGCAGTACATGCTGAGGGTGGAGGAGGGTCGGGGAGGGGAGAGCTTCCAGGGGGCTGGAAACTTCCGGCGTGATCCGAGGAGTGGTGGCTACTCGGGTGAACGCCTTTGTAGAGATTTCATTGATACTGCATTTAAAAATCTGTGTGGTTCATGTAAAATGGATCTTAATGAAAGGAAATATGAGCTAGGCTTAGGAGCGAGACTGACAGAGGGCCGGTGGGAGCCATGGAAGGGTTTTCAGCAAGAGCAGGGCCCAGTCTGTATTAGAAAGGTCCCCAGGGGCGAGGGGTCTCTATGGAAGGGGAGAGGCCAGACCTCAGCCCGCCCCCCAGGCTCATTTCCTGGCTAGTTCTCTAACCCTGGCGAGCCCCCACACCTCTCTGGACCCTCTTTCCCACCCAGGCCTCTCGTGGGAGTGCAGGCAAAACAGACGCAGGAGAGGGAAGTAGCCCAAAACTCACCCCGACACCGAGCCCCAACAGGACAGAGCCCTGTGGCTCATGCCTGCAGCCCAGCCCCGGTGCAGCCCCTTCAGGAGGCGCTGGTTCTGTGAGAGGGAGGGCGGACCCTACCAGAGGAGGGCACCCACAGAGGAGAGTGCGGGCAGGTAGGCGGGGCAGACCCCAGAGGACTCAACTGGGATCTCTTAGTCAAAAAGCCGCTTCTAAACCTGCCTTGTCTCAGGGGAAGCCAACAAGGGTAGAAGGTGAGGGGCTCTGGGCCCCCCTAGAGATTCACTGTGCTCAGTCGTTGGTACTCACTGAGGCCTTGCCCATGGCATTGAAGACACCATAGTGAACAAAAATGAGAATATCACTGGAGTGGGTGATGATCTGAAGAGACCCGTTACCTGCATGCTGGGGCTCGGCGGCCAGGATGCCTGGGTCAGACCCCAGCTCCCCCACCTCTTTGCTCTGGCTTTGGGCCGGCTTCTTAATCTGAGTCTTCTTTTCTTTTTAAAAAGACTTTATTTATTTTTATTTTTAGACAAAGGGGGAAGGGAGGGAGAAAGAGGAAGAGAAACATCAATGTATGGTTGCCTCTCGTGCTTCCCCTACTGGAGACCTGGCCCACAACCCAGGCATGTGCCCTGACTGCACATTGAACAGACAACCCTTTGGTTACCAACTCGCACTCAATCCACTGAGCCACACCAGCCAGGACAACAGTTTTCTCATCTATAAAGCAGGACCAACACTACCCACTTTGCCTCCTTTTATAGATTATGTAAAATTGGTTATACAAAGGGCCGAACATGTTCTTGGCCCAATAAATATGGTGGTAGAGACAGGTTCATGGGGCTGTGGGAGCTTCAGAGAGGGCTTCCTAGAGGAGGGGACATCCAACCCAAGGCCTAAAGGAAGAGTAGGAAGGCGTTTAGGAGTTTTCCAGCTAAAGGGGGGGGGGTGGGTGGGAGGGGAGAGACGAAGAAAGAGTGGGTCCCCGAGGAATGAGATTGGCAGGGGACCTGGTGATGCTGTAAGTAGGGCTTCCTGCAGGGGGAGGCTGCTGGAAACGTCCTCAGAGCTTCCATCCAGTTCCTGTCTCCTTTACTCCCCAGATGGGTGGGCCGGGAGGAAGGGCAGTCTGGCAGTGGGAGGTGCGGGGGCCCCAGTTTAGCAGGGCTGAGGGGTGAGGCTGCCTGTGGACTTGTAGGGAAATCCAAAAATAGCTCAGCAGAGAATGACTCGCAGTTTGGGTTTCCCTGAAAGTCAAAAACCCAGGGAAGCGAGAATGAATCAGCCTCTCAAAGTGGCACGAAGCCGCTGTGGAAAGCGAGGCCTGGGTTTGAGCCCCAAGGCCACTCTGCCTCTGACTCACAAAGGGACAGGCTGGGTGTGAATCTGGGCCCTGCGGCCCTGGTTCTCTCTCGGCTTCCAGGCCGGGCTCCTCTGGAAATTTCAGTTTCTGTGTCTGGTTTAAAAAAGCAGAGCGCAGAGCTGGGCACACGGGAGGACCTCTGGAAGTGCGAGCCGCCTCCCTCCCTCCCTCCCTCCTGCCCGAGTCCTAGCAGATGGGAAACGAGTGTGGGGGGTGGTGTGGGGCTCCCGCTCATCTCCATGGGTGGTGAGTCGTCATCTGGGTCTGGTGAGGGGGGGAGAGGGGAAGAGCACAGCAGAAGAACGAAAAAGGGCAGCCATGCCTGTGTCTGAAAGTCAGTAGCAATAATAAAAAGATTATCTGGAGTATTTGGTTCCTCCCGAGTGCCCGACCCCCCAAGCCACTCCGTTCTAATCTTCACAGCAGTTCCATGGGGGTGGCCCCGTTTTACAGGTGAGGTACAGTGTTCAGAGAGGTGGAACCATTTGCCCCAAATCACACAGCCAGTGGATGGCAGAGCCGACAGACCTCAGAGGGCACTTAGGGGAGGCCTCTGATTCATAGGTGGGGAAACTGAGGCTCTGACAGGACAGGTGAGGGCCTTCCACTGGATGACCTGCCTCTTTGGAGTGCAGACATATTTAGAAAGACAGCAACTTCTCTGTTTAACATTTATTACAAAGTGTGAGAGCAGAGACCAGTGGTCTCTTCCCCGGCTCTACCTCCCCTCCGTGTTCTCTGCAACACTAGAAAAATGGCGTCCTCCTGCTCTCCCACCAGGGGGCGCTGCCCCCTGCCTTGTCCCAGCTCCAGCTCTGGCTCCTTCAGCTCTGCCAACCAGTCGGCAACTGAGGCAACCCAGGATCCTGGACTCTGGGCCCCTCCTCCAGAACCCTCCTCCTCTGGGCCACGGTTGCCCCAGCCCCCAGGCACCTCGGCTTGGAACTGAAAGCCGGAGGTCATCTGTGGCAGCGCTGTGCGGATGTTTTGGTTGAGGGTACACGGGATAGTGGTAACCATTTTCCCATCTGGGGCCTCAGGGGTGGTGGGCCAGGGCCTCCCTCCTTCAGCCATTGTCCCCTCCAGCGGCCTCAGCGAGCCAACCCACCCCAAGGTGGGGCCCCTTGAGTCCTTGCATTTGAGGTGCTTTATTCATAGGGCTGGGTCAGGAGTAGAAGGGAGAATGCCCTTGACCTCAATCCTGGGGAAAGGAGCTTTGTTCTTCCTTCACGGGTCCTGGGGAGACAAAGGGAGACGGATGGACAGGCAGGTCAGACACCAAAGGAGGAGCAAGGGAGGGGACAGGGAGGTGGAGGCAGACAGAAACCAGTGGACAGAAGAGGAAGGAAGAGCGTGGGTGTACCCGGCACCAAGAGATCAGGGGCAGCCAAACATTTGGAAAGAGCTAGAGAACGTGCCCAGGGACAGGCAGAGAGACAGGCAGATTCCAAGCAAACAAAGAGGGAGAGGATATCGAAGGTCAGCCAAGGGGAGAAAAGTCTGCTTCCTTCACTGCCCGTCCAGTCCCGAACTTGGAGTCCTTTCCTCCCAGCACAGGCAGAGCAGAAGAGAAAGGTTAGCCCCGTCTCCAGGTCATGCCCCGCCCCCTTCACCCTGCCGGGTGCTGACCACAGGCACCTCTCCTCCAGAAGTTTTTCCTGCCCAAGCGCCAGCCTCCTCACCAGCTATGTGGCCTCCTGGCTGGGTTCTGGAAGCTGCCTTGGCCTCAGCACAGCGCTGAGCAGCTCAGTCAGGGTGTCCAGCTTCCCTGCCAGTGCGTCAATCCGCTTCTCCAGGGCCTGGTGTGAGCTGCTCAGCCCCCGTTGCAGGTCACACAGGATCATGTGCATCTGGGCAGAGAGAAGGGTCGGGGGTGTGAGGGGCTGGCGGGCACCCTGTCCCGTGGAGTAAGGCAGTGGAACCAGCATTGAATAAACCATTCCAGGTGCTCAAGGACTGTCCTTAACCATAACAGTTACCAACTATTGACCCGACCACACCCCAGCTACTTGGCCAGGTGCTTTTCATGTGTGGTTTAAAGTCTTAAAGTCCGTGGGGAGTGAAAATCCTGTTCTCATTTACAGCCAAGGAAACTGAGGCCTGGAACAGTTCATTGGCCCAACGGCAGCACCTAGAATAAGGCCTAGGATGTAGTAGGTGCTCACTAAATATTTGTGGCATTGATGAATGCCTGACATCAAAATCCACATACATAGCTCTTTCCCTTCCTTCTCAAACCAGGGCTCACAGCTTCGTCCTTGAGGGTGTATGAACCTTCTGTGAGAATTCTTTAATTATGTGCTTTACGGCTCGATAATCTTAGGAAATTAACACCTGTCAATTCTGGCAGGCCTGGGCCCTCACCTCACTGAGGCATCCATTGTGAAGGCCTGTATCTGTGACAGTGTTTACCATGGCATTGCTGCCGAGGGCCACTGTTTGAATTGTCATGGACTAATGAGAAAAAGCAAAGGCCACCGGATAAGCAAAAAATGCTGTTCATCCAGCGGAAGGCTGTGACATCACTGCCCCAGCACCGGCGGAATCCAGTGGTCCCAGCAGGAGGTGGGCGGGCTGAGTGGCTGGGCCCTGGCTCCGCCCCCCAGCCCACCATAGCAGCAGAGATTGAGTTTTACTGAGACAGTGGCCCCCTTCCCCATGTCATTGTTCATTTGCATTTGATTGGTTTTGCCATGTGTGCTTGGGCTTGGTTTGTAAATTTGCTTTGGTTTTATCATTGTATAAGAATCAGAGTTGGAAGGAATTTTATATCCGTCCACATGTAAGTAACTGGACAATAAAAATAATTTAAAACTAAACACTGGAGTTCTTTGTACAGTTTCTTTCTTTTTTTTCTTAAGTTTAAAAGGGATCTCTCTGTGCCACACATGAGTTTAAGAAACCAAGTATTGCTTTATGTATTCATTCAACCACAGACCTTTATTGAGGACCGGTGTGTGCCAGGTCCTGGCCAGAGTTTCCCACGCTGGGGCCAGCTCTCCCTGCACGCCCACGGCCCAGCCTCCCTCTTCCCCCAGACTCCCTCCCACGGATTCTGGTACCTTGGAGATGTCCACCATGGAGTTCACTTGGTCCTGGAGCTTTCGATGTTTCAGCCGCACCTGGCGGAACCTGTGGGAAGGAACAGGTGGTCGGGTTTCCTATGAGCCTGGTCCCCAGATGTGGCCTTAGCTTGGGAGAAGGATGAGGGGAGGACAGACCCACGTACACACAGGACGGAGAGGAAAAGTTGCCAGAGAGCTGGTGGGGGGGACCTGCACCCACAAGTCCACCTCCCTGGGGGAGACCTGGGCATCCAGGCCCACAGACACTGTGAGACACGAAAAACCAGCCACAGACACCGAGTCGCTGTGAGATCCAGGGTGCAGCTAGTTGTTCAGTCACACACGGGTGTGCATGCTGACACGCCATGCAGGGAGATGTGAGCACAGGTGTACACGCTCACACATGCACACACACACACAACAGCAGCCCTCACGTGCTAATGGCAGCCAGCAGCCTGCGCTGGTGCCTACGGGCTCCTCCAGAGTCCTTCCTGCGTGTGTGTTTGTAGAACATCCAGGCCTCTTGTAGCAGCCGGGCGGCTGACTCCTTCATCTGGGGATGGGGGCGCAGTGTCAGTGCAGACAGGCCCCTGGGCTCTGGGAGGGGGGCCTGGACTCCTGGGTCTGAGGGGGCAGGGGCTGGGGGCCTGGACTCCTGGTCCCAGCGGGGAGGGACTGGGGGCCTGGACTCCTGGTCCCAAGGGGGAGGGACTGGGGGCCTGGACTCCTGGTCCCAGCGGGGAGGGGCTGGGGGCCTGGACTCCTGGGTCCGAGGGGGGAGGGGCTGGGGGGCCTGGACTCCTGGTCCGAGGGGGGAGGGGCTGGGGGCCTGGACTCCTGGGTCTGAGGGGGGAGGGGCTGGGGGCCTGGACTCCTGGTCCCAGGGGGGAGGGGCTGGGGGCCTGGACTCCTGGTCCCAGGGGGGAGGGGCTGGGGTTGGAGTTCCCGTGCAGGCGGGCGCTCACCTCCTTGGTGAACTGGATGTCCATCATGAAGTTGTGCACATGCTTCTCCGCCTTGTTAAACTCCAGCTTCCGAGCCACCACGGCCACCAGCAGGGCTGTGCAGCAGACCCCCTGTGGGCGCGGGAGGCGCGGTGACACAGGGACTCTGTAGGCCCACTCTGTGCCGCCACCCCTCCCCTAGACCCTCTCACCAGCCACACAAGGCAGGCCTGACCACCCCGAGTGGTCAGTGGTCAGCAGACAAGCAAACTGCTCCCAAGGGTGGAGCAAGGCTCAGAAGCCACGTGTCTGAGACCAGCCCCTGTGTTTACGCCGTCAGAACATTCTCTGCCACTAAGGGTGCGACTGGGGGCAGAGAGGGGGCTGGTCTGGGGGAAAGGCAGGCCTCAGGCTCCTGGGGACCCCTTCCTCCCTAGTGCTGACGCCCAGTTGGCCATCGAGTCACTGAGGGTGTTCCCCCTCCACCACCACAGCCTCTGCCCAGCACTGGCCCTGTCTTCCTCCTGGATTACCTCCAGCCTTCCATTTACCCCAGGGGCATCTAACCTGGTTAGGACCCTGCCCTTCTCAGCCTAATCTAACTTCCCACAGCCCCAGACTTCTGAGCCTGCCTTTCAGGCCTCCCCAGATCCCAGTCTCCCTCCCAGACAAAGGGGCCCCAGCTCCAGCTGTCTCACCTGCCCCGGCACCTGGGTCTGAACACCCATTCTCCTCCCTCCCCTCCTCCAAGGCCTCCGATCCTTCAAGGCCCCGTCAGACCCCCACCTGCTCTGCGGCCCCGGGTCACCCTGCCTGGAGTTAGAAGTAGTCTTCTGAAGCCCCAGCCCCCCTGTGCGTTTTAGCCCTTGACCACTCAGAATTCACTAGCTGCGAACATTAGCTCTGGGACTGCTTGTGTTCCAAACCCAGCTTCGAGCAAGTTATTCAAACTCCGAGGGCCTCCGCTTCTCCTCTGTAAAAATCCCTCACTGTGTGATGCTATGGATTCTGTCATCCAACGCCCGGGAAGTGTTTAGGACACGGACTGGCACAGAAGTTCTCGGGCACAGTGCGCTCATAAGTTCTACTTCCGCTCTGCCTGGAAGTGCTCGCCAGGAGCGGCCGTGACCCCCAGTGTGATGCTCGCCTTCTCTCTCTGGATTTCAGTTTCTCCTTCTGTCCAATGAGGACGGGGTGTTGCCCTGGCTGGGTGTCTGCCCCTTTTTCCTTGTCTCATGCGCTGCTCTGTGTGTGTGTGAGACAGTCCCCTGCCACCCCCTCTATCACTGTGGGCCCAAGGCCTGGGGACTCATCATGTCCTTCCTGGGATAACATCAGGGCTGGGGACTGGCTGCTTGAGTCCCTGAGGGTAAGGGAGCCAGCTCTCTTGGGGAGGTGGCGGCCAAGGCATTGGGGGAGGCCCTGGAGGGGAATTAGGGGTGCATAGGGGGGCTGGGTGCCTGGGTCTGTGAAGGGAAGGGGTGAGTGTCTGGATTTGGGAGGCGGCATCGTCTGGGGCTGGAGAACCTCTGCCTCATCCTGGAGGGCACAGGAGCTGGGTGAGGGTGGCAGATGCCTGGCACCTGTTTCAGTAACAGCCCCTCCCACCCCACCCTGTTTAATGAGCATTTCTTACGTGCTGGGCACTGTCTGAGGCCCTTTAATAAAGGGGTGTCCAACCAGCAGCCCAGGACGGCTGTGAATGCGGACCAACACAAAATTGTAAATTTACTTAAAACCTTTTTTTTTGCTCATCCGTTCAGTTTTTGACAGTGTCTGTGTCTTTAATGCGTGGTTCAAGACAACTCTTCTTCTTCCGGTGCGGCCCAGAGACACCAAAAGGTTGGCACCCCATGTTTTAATTCATTGAATCTTCTCAGGAACCCCACGAGGGATTCGCCAGGATAAGCATCCCATTTTATAGGTGAGGAAACTGAGGTTCAGAGAGATTATATGGCTTGCTTCCAGCTAGGAAGTGGCAGACGCCGGATTTGAACCCAGGCAGCCTGGCCCCACAGGCGCACCCTTCATGATTAGACTCTATAGCCGTGATGGAGCCTGGGAGACTGGACTCCCAGGTCCTAGAGTCGGGAAATGCGGCCTGAGTCCTGGATGACTGGGCGGTAAGGGAGTGCGGCAGGACGTCTGAGTCTGGAACGAGTGGGGGTCAGGGCTGGAATCCTGGATTCTAGAAGGACATGGAACTGAAAAGCCAGAGGCCTTGTGTCCCTCAGGAGGGTGAGGACTGAGGCCTTAGTTTCCGGAGAGAGCAAGGACTTCGGGGATGGATTCCTGGGTTTTAATAGGAAATGGGGTCTGTGACCTGGACGGGGGCTGTAGGGGACCAGATACCACGTTTCTAGAAGGTGTCCCTGATTGCCTGTGCTGGCTCCCTGGTCTCCTGGGGCCAGGGGATGGCCAGTTTGGACTCCGGGCTGGGTTTCGGCCCCCGACCCCCCAACCCCTCGGCCCCATGAATCAGCAGCCCCAGTAGCCTCTGGGGAGTGGGGCCCCTGGGATGGCTGTACTCACCATGACTCCAGTGGAGAGGCAGACAATCTTGCCCCACGTGGTGCCCGGCACAACATCCCCATAGCCAATGGTCAGGAATGTGATGGGGATCAGCCACAGAGTGTCTGAGAGGTGTCCCGTGGCGTTCACAGCCTGCCTGTGGGGAAGGGTGGGTCAGTGCTGGAACCCCGCTCCGGGGCTTCCGGTGGTGTCTGGTGCCCTCCTTCCTCACACACACCCACCGGCCCGGGAAGCACCCAGAAACACAGCTAACGAGTTCTCTGGGCTTCGGAGAGACTGCCTGGCCCCCACTCTGCTCTGTGAGCTGGGCTGGGTGCTCAACACTCTGGTCAGTGGGAACTGAACCCTGGTGAAGCCAGTTCCGAAACTAGCTTCTTTTCAGTGAGGCTACTGGGGCTGCTGATTCGTGAGGCCGAGGGGTTGGGGGGGCCGAAACCCAGCCCGAAGTCCACTTGTCAGATTGGCAGGGGGCTGCATCCACCCAGAGGAGTAGGAGCCTTTGTTTCTGATTTCCACAAAGATGCTGTCTGGCCTAGAGATGTCGCTATCAGGACTGAAAAGGCGGGACTCTGCATTTCCCCTCACCTCACAGAAGGGGACATTTCAGTCTAGCCATGGAGGGGATTGAACATTGGGGCGTGCTCCACTTTGGCCCACAAACCCCTCTGGCATCAGACTCAGGAGAGAAAGCTGCCATCGATAAGGGTCCCAGACCTCAGAGCCACTGAATTATTGTCTGGAGGTGGGGACTGAATCTGCACTGTTAACAACCCCCCCTCCTCCCCAGTTCTGAGTTGCAGTCAGTTTGAGGACTTCTGCCCCTGGATTTAGAAATGCAACTCTGTCCCCACCCTGCCATTTTTCAGACAAGAAACACGGTGGGAAAACCATTCCTGGATGCTGAGCCCGACTGATTTCGCGGCTGGGAAAACTGAGGTCCTGCCAGATGAAGTTTAGCATTACAAAAGATCAGAGTTGCCGGGGAGACTTGAAGGGTGGTGGGTTTGTAAAACTGACCCATTGTACAGATGAGAAAACAGGCTCAGACAGGAGAGATCTAAAGCCAGGTCTTCTCCCTCCCGCCCCTCAAGAACCACTCGCCAGGGGCACTAAGCCAGAGGCTCTGGAACTTGAACTGGCATCAGAACCACCTGTCAGAGTTTTAACTCAGGTGGGTCTTGATGTAGCCTGGGAATTTGGGTTCTCGGGTGATGCTGCTGGTCCGGAACTACACTTAGAGAACCACGGGCTGAGGTTACCGCCCCCCCCAATTTCTTTATTTGTGTGTGAGTGTGTGAGAGAGACAGACAGACAGACAGACAGACTGAGGCCCTGCAAGGGTACAGGCCCAGCGCCAGGTGACGCAACATGCAGCAGGCAGCCTGGAATCGGGTACCACTTCCCTGCAGGGAATTCCCTTCCAGAGGCAGCCCCCAAACACCCCGTGTCTGCACCACCGTGAGCACCTACAGTGCATCTGTGCCAGTTCCTCAGAGGCAGATGCAACGCTTGGCCAGGCCCCGGGGCCTGGGTTTCCAGACCGAACAGATGCCTGGAAACCTGAAGCAGGAGAGGTTGGGAAGCAGGAAGGGAAGGGCTTCCTAGGGTCTGTGTGTGCCCGGGGAGACTGGAGGCTGCAGGTGGAGGAAGGGCTGGGGCTCGCCTGGACCAATGTGGACAGACAGCCTTCCCCACGGCTTGGCGCCCGGCCGCTGCCCTAAGCTGCTTCTCCAGATGCTCCTAATGCCCCCGCCGCACCCCCACCCCCGCACCCTCACCTCTCAGCCACGGACAGCACCCAGGCGGTGGTGACCCAGAGGCCAAGCGTGAGGCAGAGCAGCAGGCGGCCGGGATGCGTGTTCATGTACAGCTTGGCTACGAACCAGTGGCGGAAGCGGACCTGGTTGAGGGCGCCGATGCTGCGGTAGGACGCGTTGAGCAGGACGCCGCTGCGCAGGAGCACGGCGCGGGGCACCAGGTAGAGGCGCAGCAGCATGACCAGCGACAGCAGCGCCTCCCCCTGGCTCAGAAAGCCCGGCCAGGAATGCGTCGCGTTCGACGGCGTGCACAGCGGGCTCCGCACCGGCGCCGGGTGCAGCCCGCACACCACCAGCTCCAGCAGGATCTGCGCCACCTGCCGCCTCGTCAGTGCCACGCGCCAGTCCCGGAGGCTGTTGTCGGTCATGAACAGCTGCGGGGAAGGGCGCAGACCGGGATTGGGGGTCACATGAAGGTCAGGTGGCTGCCGCCAGCCTGCACCAGGAGATAAGAGGGGCGCGCCCGCGAGGCCAGGGAAAGAGGCAGCGCCTGGGCGTGGGGCTGAGGAGGGTGGGCAAGGAGCAGGGCAGGACCTGGGGGGAGACATCTCTCCCGCTTCTCCCTTCCCTCCTCGCGTCAGCCCACTTCCAGAACGGCCAGCCCAGGAACACTCAGCGAGTGCCTAGACTGTTCTACATTCTGAGGTGAACAGACAGACAGACAGAAGCGCCTGCCTTCCTGGAGCTTACACATCCGTGGAGGCACCCCCCACTCCGTTTTGGGGGCCAACCGTGTAGTCAATGTAGTCGTCAGCCATTAGCAACCACGACAGCCAATACCGACGGGGACTTTGGATGTGCCAGCCACTGCTGCCCGTGTGGTGTCTCAGTGACTGCTCACAGCTCGTGAGATGGAAAGAATTTTCACCCTCATTTTAGAGGCGTGGGGCCCTCAGGTGGGCAGCGGCTCAGCTGGGCTGCACACTCAGGACACTTCGACTGCTCAGATGGCCGCTATCCATGATAATGTGTGTTTTGCACTGAGCACCTCTTACATACCAGGCACTGCAAGGGACCTTACTGCACAGGGCCGGTAACCCCCATTTTATATGGGGGTGCGGGGAGGAGGGAACAGGGTCCCAGTGAGACAGGACCCTGGTGCGAAGGGCTCCCGGGTCAGGGGGGTGTTGGCACGGGTGGGCAGCTCAGGAGTGGGGAAGGACCTGGGGACACAGTCCCGGGTCTCGGGTTGCTTGGGATTGGAGTAGGTGGGGGTTCAGGGATGGAGGACAGAGGTCCGGGGACCGAAACTCTCAGCATCCGTGAGTGTGCAAGGCAGCCCGGGGCTGCAGGTGGAGGGAGGGGACGGGCTGCTGCAGGCCGCTCTGCTGGTTTGTCTGAGGTTCGTCCCTTCCCAGCAGATGAGGGAACCTCATTCATCAGCCCAGAAGGAGGAGGAGGATGGAAAGTGTGAGCTGACAGGGCGGGGTGGGGGCTGAGGGCGAAGGGAGGGGCTGGGGTGGGGCCTGCCCTACCTGGACCTCTTTGGCATGAAAGGCCAAGATGAAGCAGAGGAGCAGGACGGTGGAGATGCTGATGGTGCATTTTACCAGGAACAGGTAGAGTGCCCACTATGGGGAGAGAGAAAAAGGGGTGAGGTCCCAAGTCTCCACCCATGGGTCCCCTCCACCTTCCTCCCTAGCAGCCTTGCCTTCTCGATCCCCAATTTCCTAGCCTCCTTTCCCCAGGAGCCCCAACCCAGTTGCCCCCGAAGTCTCAGTTCTGGGGAAGTCTCCAAACCATCATCCTTCCCAACTGGGCAGCCGTGGCCCGAGTGCCAGTGTCCTCCTCACCTCTCTCCGAGAATTCGCATCCCTTAGCGGGGAACTTGACACTCACATTTCTTCTAAATCCCATCTACTTGCCCATCAAAAGTAGTTCGCAGGTGTGTGTGTGTGTGTGTGTGTGTGTGTGTGCGCCTAGAAGCAGACATCTGACCTCTGGAGAGTCCTCTCCTCTCCCCTTCCAACCCAGCTGGTCCTGCCCTAGAAAGCAGCTTCACCCCCCCCCACCATGCCCCCATTCCCCAGGAGCCTAGAAACTATCATTCATTCCCCAAGGAATGAATGGCAGCCTCCCTTGCCCTTATACAGGGGGCTGAGTCCCTGAGAGGCCCTCGACCTGGCTCAGAGAAAGGCCCCCCAGCGCCCCGCCCTGCACCTCCTCTCCCACCTCCTGACCTCTCTCTAGGCTCTAAGCCCAGAGCAAGTGTGGCTGGAAGCACGTGGTCTCCAGAAAACATGGAGGTGTTTCCCCCACCCTCTCTTTGTGTGGCAATAGCTTGGAGGAATCTAGAATTCTGGAGAAAAGGAGTTAGAGGAATCTGGGACTGCTGGATTCCCTGAGGGGCTGGGGGGGCAGTGTCCCTAACTGGGGGGGGGGTGTTGTCAGGGGGAAGGCACCACCTGGGTTCCCACCTGTTTGTCCTAAGACACCTGCTTCTGCTAAGATGCTGCCAGCTCCCCTGAGTGGGAAACAAAGCCAGTTTCCTGCCCCAGGGGGGGCCTCCCCCACCCCCTCCTCGAACAATGGTGCTGTTGTCCCCAGCCTTCCCTCCCACCCCTTTACCCTTCTCTGGCACCCCAGTCCTTGTCTCTTTTCTTTAGTTCGTCCCAAACCCCACGCCACGAAACACAACCCCCCTCCCCCTCCCCACAGAGCAGCCCAGTTCTCCGATGGTCATCTCTACTTTTCCAGTTCGCGGACACGCCCCCGCTCCCTCCGACAGCTCTGCCTCGCTCCCCTCCACTCCTGGAGTTGGGCACCTGCCTCTGCTCCCGAATTGCCTCCCCCGACCACGGCAAACAGGTGTCTAGGGCCCTGGGAAATAAGTCCATTAGATCGAGATGGAGGTGGGGAGGGGACAGGGCTGTTACCAAGACAGTCATAGAAACGGGGCTCAGGAGGACCCCTAGAATCATGTGTCAAACCCCCACCCCCAGCTTACAGATGGGAACACTGAGGCTCAGAGAGCTCTGGCCGCTTCCCCGAGTCCCACTGCCAGAGGCAGAGACCTGGCAGGTGGGAAAGGAAAGGAAGAAATGAGCAGTGAGAACAGGGAGGGAGCGGGGAGGAGTGACCCCTTTGCCCTTTCCTATCTGCCTGGGCTCCGCAGGCTGCACCTCCCCGGCGGGGCCGGTGCTGGAGCGTGGGAGCAGAGGGTAGGCCCGGCCACGCTTCCTGTTGGCATGAGCTTCGGCTGCCGCACCCCCTCGGTGCCCGCTGCCCTGGCCTCGTCCTCCCGGCCAGAGCAAACACGCCTGCCCTGACCTTCCATGTGGCTCCTGGTCATGTGAGAGCTGCCTTCCCCCCTCACCCCAAAATCCCAAGCCTGAGCCTCCATCCCCCAAGAGTCTCCCCAACTCAATCTTTAAATCACTGCCCCCCCAACCCAGCCAGCCCAGTGACACACCCCTTACTCCAGTCTGGCCTCCAGCCCTCCTTCCTTATTGAGCAATTCTGTTCTGTCCTCCAGCCACTAACCCCGACCCGTGCCCTGCCTGTACCTCCTTCGCTGCCCTGACCAGAGACAGAATGTGCAGGATCCTGTTCCGGCTCCACTTGGCCTTTCCCTTCCCATTCACTACCCTCCTTCAAACTCAGCTCCTGCCCCCAAAGATGCTCTAAGGCTGCTCCCCGGTGTCCCCCGCTCCCCAGGGACCCAGGAGTTTGGGGACCACTATGAACCTACTGGCCGCTGTTTCCCAGCTTAAAGAACACACAGACTCCGGGCAGGCAGCACTTCTTACTGACAGAGACGGGACGGGGTGTGTCCATGTCCGTTTCCCACCCCACCCCCACCCCAGGCAGTTTCTTCAGTCCCTTTGTGCTGAGGTGCTAGATAAACGTTAGAGCTCAGATAAGAACCAAAGAGCCGCCGCCTGCTGCCAGAAGTTAATCTCTCTCCTCACCCTCCCTTCACTGAACCGAGGGCTCCCGCTCCCCTAACCTGCTCTTGGGAGGCTGGCGTGTCCGATCAGCCCTCTCCCCCTGACTCCAGCTGTTTAACTGCAGCACCTTCAAAGAGTGAGACACTGAGACCCTCTTCCCTTCCTTTTGCAGAGAGGACCGCCAGCATTTGCCTCCCTGGATTCCAGACTCTAGAGTCCAGCCCCTCCTCCCTCAGACCCGGGAGTCTCAGCCCCCAGCCACTCCTGGGCCAGGACGAGGGTTCCACTCACCGAGCACCCTCCGAACCACAGCATCTCGGCGTGCAGTACCATGAGCCCGATGCCAATTCCCGCCAGCGTCAGTGCCCAACAGGCCAGCCACTTCTCCTGCTCCAGCAGGTGTTTTCGCCGCTGCAGGGCCTCCAGGCCAGGCACCAGCTCCCCGCTCATGGCCCCCTGGATCTTGGGGCTCAGCCAGCTTCCTGCCCAGGGTCCCCCACCTCGCAGCACGCAAAGGGCAGCCACTGTGGCCAGCAGGTCATCAGCCTGCTCTGCTCAGTTGCTCTGGGGCTCTTGCTCTGAGGCAGAGCAGAGCCCGTGCCCTCTGGGGGGTGGTGACGGCCGGCTGGGCAGGGCAGGGAGGGACTGGGGAGGCCCTTGGGCAGCAGGGAGGCTCGTCAACCTCCCTTCTCAGTCTAAGGAGGGGCTGGGGTGTGTCTGGGGCAGAGCAAGGAAGAGCATGCACCCACGTGGGTGCAGACACACTGGCACACAACGGTCACAACAGTCTGCACCGTGTGACACACACCTGCATGCAGCCACACCCACAGCACCGCCGGACACAACCTAACACACTTGGGCACACAACTCGACCTACACCAAGTGACTCACAACTCCCCACGGGTTCTGAAACCCACAGCCACACCCAGACACCGCACATGTGCTGTGACACACGCCGGTCCTCAGACAGGCAGTTCCCCGTGACACACACAGCCACCCAAATACTGTCCACACGCAGGCACAAATGCTGCGATCCGTGGGCACAACACTGTCTGACACAAACAGCCACACCCAGACGCCACACACTGGGTGATGCACACACACAGCTGCACAACCCACAGCAAATGTCCCACAAACACACAATTTGTGCTGGCGTAGTGATGCCCGATGCCACACACACGCGTATGGAAACAATACGCCCACAGAGCCCCGAGCATTGCACGCCCGTGGAATGATATCTGACACAAGCAGACACGTGACATTTAGGGATACACCCATGGCATCCCCGTCACCCAGCACACGGAGAAACGCACAGGAAGCACACAGAAGCACACCACGCGCATGGCGACTCGGGCACACACACTCAGAGAACGACATACAACGCACCCCAGGACACAGCGCCATCCAGGTGTGTAACCGGGGAGCAGTATAAAAGGTCACGGGCAGAGACCTCCATCGAACAGCGACACACACAGAAACCCAAGCAGCCCAGCCCAGAGGAAGACGTTCTGGCACATTCCGGTGCGTCACAGGGGACACAGCCCAGAATGGTGCCCCAGGGGAGGGGACAAGGCTCGGGCTACACGGCCCCGAAGCCCAAATGCAATGTGTGTGGAGGAAGGCGCAACCCGTCGCCTCTGACTGACAAGCCACATCCAAGCTCCATGTACCACAGCCGCATACAACCCGGCACTCCATGTGCCCCAACACGCGTGACCCTGTGAGCGCAGCGTGCACGGAGAGATGCGCAAACACAGGTGACACAAAGCACCTCAACGCATTTCCCAACATGACCTTTGACACACACCACGTGTCCCGTGACATCAGACGTGACCCACTGACCCGGCTGGTTCATAGGCCGGCAGCAACGCCACACACACCAGAGGACGCCCTGCGGCACAACGTGATACACACCCACACACACGGAGCACACTGAGTGTGAGCAGCCAGGCTGTGGTGTTGGCAGAAAGAGGAGAGGACCCCGACAAGGACAAACACCTCAACGTGAGACACAGAGTCATGTCACAGAATGAATGACACATGGCTTCACACACACAACACCCAGAAAGGCACAGCTCACACGCATGCTCAGACCAGCACTGGTGAGGCAGTGACGCGGCGTTGGGGGGTGAGGACTTGCAGCAGCGCTGAGGTGACCCAGGGGTCAGTCTGCCGCACGTTTAGACGCAGATCAAAACACACAGGGGCACACAGGTGTGGTGACCAGCACACCTCACACAGTGTCACATGCTGACTTATGACACAGCCGTTGGTCCCGAGGACCTTGCTGTTGGTGGGACACACGGACATAACCCCTTCCCTCTCCCATGTCATGTGCCATGCAGAAACATGGACCTGCCAGCCACAGGGAAATGGGACACGCACAGACACGCCTGGCAGCTCACCAACACATACCACGCAGACACACCCAGAGACACCAAACCGCACACACAGACCCACCCAGTGACAAAAACACAATCGTGCCCGCCCGCTCCGTGGCACACTCCTCAGTGATGGAGACACGCCCGGGCACACTCAGATGCCACCCACGTGACTGTGGCAGAAAGCGGGTGCTCTGGAGGCCTGGGCCCCCCCGCCGCCCACCGCCCCGGGGCCCTGGCATGGGTCTCGGTGCCGCTCTCTTCCTCGTTCTCACCTGCAGCCCCTCTCTCCGTCTCTCCAGCTCTGGAAACCTCCGGGTCTGTCTTATCTCTGCCTCCTTCTGTCTGTCTGTCTGTCTGTTTCCATTGTTCTGTCTCCTCGTCTCCTCGTTTCTGCCTCTCTCAACCCCTGTGTCTCTTAGCATTTCGGCCTTCACTCTTGTGCCCCTCTCTGGTTTTCTCTACTTTATTCTCTCTCCCTGTCACTGTCTCCTGGCCTGCATGTTCCTCTCTGCGTGTCTCTGTCTTTCTGTCCCTGTCTGTGCTCTCATATGTCTCATTTCCTCTCTGTCTGTTTCTGGCTGACGCTAGGTCTCTCTCTGTCCCCTTCCGTGCCTGTTCCTCTCCCTGCCTCCACGTCTCCCTTTGGGCCTCTCTCTGCCTCCGACTCTCTCTCTGGGCCTCTCCATGCTTGTCTCTGCCTCAGTTTCTCTCTCCTGTTCACTGGCGCAGCTGGGGACAGCCTTGCCTTTTTCTGAGTCCACCCAGCCCCACACAAGGGTCGGAGACGCAGAGACTGCGGCCATCTGAGAGAGTCAGAGGTCATGGACAGAGGCCTCCAGCACCAGCCCCTGCACGGCTGTGCCCGGTGCAGGCACCAGTGAAAAGTGACACAGATGGAGAGATACCCAGAGAGGTCTCGGTGTCTCCTGACACCAAACACAGCCATTTGGTACAGCCAGAGGGCAAGGGGGAGAAAGTGAGACAGACAGATTGAGGAGGAGAGGGAAGGAAGGAGAGAGAATGAAATAAAAAAATCAGAGATGGAGGAAGAAGGAACCCGGAGGTAAAGAGAAAGCAGAAGCCAGAATCTAGAATCCAGACATGGACGTTGCTGCAGAGAGAGATTTTTGTCTTCAAAGCAGGCCACGACTACAAGAGAAAAAAAGGAGCAAAGGCTGGAGGAAATGGGAGATGCCAGGGTGGGCAGCAAGGGGGGCACAGTGAGAAGGGCACCTGCCTGCAAACTAACCTTCCAGGCCCAGGGGTCAGTGTGTAGGGCGCACGGCTCGAGCCCGCTCCCTCCGGCCCAGGGAGGGGCTGAGCGGGGCGGTGGGGGTGACTCAGGGCCCCCGAGCTTCCTGTGACTCAGCCCTGGGCTCAGCCCTGGAGGGGGAGTGGAGGGTCCCTGTGAAGGAGAGGAGGGAGGGGACACCAGAGGATCTGTACGCCTACATCGGCCCTTGCGAAAGGTGACTGAGGGCCACTTCAAGGCACTTTGAAGGGAGGAGGGGCAGGGGCGTGGAGAACCGGGTCTGGGGGAGGAAGGGCCGGGGGCCCAGACTCCTCCGTCTGAAGGAGGAAGTGAGCCGGGGGCCCGGACACCTGATCCAGGGAGACCAGAATAACTGACTCCAACGTCCCCGGGACTTTCCCCTGGCCTCGTCCCAGCCGTCCCACCTTCCTCCCAGCTCCGCGTCCGGGCCTGGAAAGGACCCAGATGCCATGGGGCCCAGCCGGAAGGGGCCTAGGACAAAGGGTTGTTTAACTAACTGCTCAGGGAGTGAAGAAGAGGGTGTCTCAGTCGGAAAGGTCACCTGTCGCCCAGGGCTCGTGCAGGGAAAGGCGGGGCTGAGCCGGGTGGGGAAAGACTCCCTGGAAGTCAGAGGCCCTTTGGCGGCAAATCCTCCAAGGCAGCCTTTTGAGTTAGACAGCGGGTAGCTTCAGGGCATCGGGCTGCTGACACCTCGTGGTGGTCTTGGGAACTGCAGGCACTGTGCGGGTCTAGCCCGGTGTGATGTCAGCAGACTTTGAACACCTACTGTGTGCCAGGTGCTGCTCTAAGCGTGGAGGGTATAGTAACAACAAAACAGAAGAAGAAACAACCCTGCCTTCCTGGAGCTCCCAGGCTGAAAGAAGTCTCGTGCTCCCGTCAATCTCTCAGTCTCTCTCTCCGTCCCCTGCCCCACCCCCACCCCTGGCGCTGCGAGTCTTTGCTTCTTTCTGTCTGAGTCTCTCACTGGCCTTACTTCTTAGTTTCTGTCTCCTGGCCTTTGTCTCCAAGGGCACGCCTTTTTCTTTTCTCGTTTTTCCTTCTTTCTCTGTTTTGCTTATTTTCTCCTTTGTATCTTTATGTTCCCCACCAATGAAAACTCATGTATATTATTATGTTAAATCATATATCATCATTATATGATATATGCTTTGTGCTCTCAGAACTCTAAGACGGTCATGCTGCGAGGAAGCCCAAGCTAGGCACGTGCAGGGGCCACGCCTGGGCCCAGGACACCTGGGCCCAGGACACCTGGGCCCAGGACACCTGGGCCCGAAACCCAAGTCCAACCCCACTGGACGCAGCTGCAGGAGTGACCTCTGCAGAGACCAGCAGAAGTGTCCCATTAACCCTCAGCTTCATGAGAAAAAAAAAACAACGCACTTTTTGGGATAAGACACTGAATTTTGGAGTCGTTCATTGCATAGTAAATATTGTGCTCTTCTGCTCAGTTTTTTTTGAAGTTTTCCATAACATAAGTATGTACATGAATATGTATATGTATGAATAGGCAATGGAGTAGATCACGGACATGGCACTTTATGTATTGCAGCCAGTATTGTTTGCTTCTCTCTTTTTGGCTCTGGGTCTTTCTTGACTCTCAGTCACAACCTGCCTTTCATGTTTTCTCGTCTCTCTCTCTCTTTTTCTGTGTGTCTGCTCCAACCGCACCAACCCCCACCTGCCACTTTCCCCTCCATTTGCTTTGCCCCCCCCCCACACTGACGTTCTGGCTGGTCCTTGAATGTGCCAAGCTCTTTCCTGCCTCCGGGTGTGGCGCCTGCTTTTCCCTCTGTCTCCACGCTTTTTAACCTCCATCTCCTCATGCATCGTTCCCTCACTTTATCCAGCTTTCTGCTCAATCGTCTCAATCCTTGATCCAGCTATTGTCTCATCCTTGATTACCTCTTCAAAAATGGTCCTCTCTGGCACCATAAATAATCCTGTATTTTATTTCATTGTTGTACCTTCATCACAGTACTTGGGACAATCTAAACGGTCTTGTTACCTTGTTTTTCTAGTTGATGAGGATCTTACCATCCCCATCCCAGTGTTTAGAGCAGTGCCTGCACCTAGGAGATGCTCGGGTGGTTGGTGAAAGAATGCTTTTTAAAAATATTTTATTTATTTATCTCTAGAGGGGAAGGGAAGGAGAGAGGGAGAGAAGCATCAATGTATGATTGCCTTTCATGCGTCCCCTGCTGGGAACTGGCCTGCAACCCCGGTATGTGCCCTGACTGGGAATTGAACTCAGATTGTCTGGTTCACAGGCCCGTGCTCAATCCACCGAGCTATACCAGTCTGGCTGAAAGAATACTTTTGCTCGATGGGATGGACCTGCTCTCCTTCGACTCCACCCTCTCACCCTGTTCCTGACTGTCCAGGAGGCTGGAGGACGTCATTTCCTCATTGCCCCCGTCATTCGTGCCCTCATTGGTTGAGTTGCTGTCTGTGGTTCTGAGACCCGGCGCTGCGGATCTGTCCTTGGTGCTGACTCAGGCTCCCACTTCCGTTAAGCTGGGGAGGGCAGAGGGATGGGGGTAACGGGCAAGGTGATGTACGACCCCAGCACACATATCCTGTGAACCCATGAGAGAAGGCAGACAACTGAATTCTGAAGACAGGGAGTGTCTGGGTTCAGCAGGCATTTGTTCTATGTCTCTATGTCTCTATCCTTTTTATCACGGAAAACGTCAAAATACAGAAGCGAACAGAAGAGAATGATATACCTCCATTTACAAGTACCCACTTAACAAGTACCAACACATGGTTAATTGCATCTCATCTGTCTCCACCCACTTCCTCACTTCCTCTGTTATTTTAATGCAAATCCCAGACATGATATCATTTAATTACATGTTGTATTTTAAGTTGTGTTTCTTTGTGTTGAGGTCTGACCTACGCATTGTAAAGTTCACGAATCTTACGTGTACAGATTGATGCCGTTCTGCCCGTGTATAAAGCATCTCCACCATCACAGCCGGCTCTCTGGTCCCCTGTCCCGACTGATGAACCAGACCCCGACCACCAGAGATTAAAAAGCCACAACATGGGAATCCAAAGACCTGGGCTTTAAACCTTGACTTGGCTGCTGACACCATTTCTCTTGTATGAAACACACTATTCATGTAGACAGTGCATAAAATACAGAGGTACATTTTGGACAAATGATTTTAGAGTGAACACACCTAAGGAGAGTATCGCCACTCCCCAGAACCTTCCAGACCACAAAGCCCTTCCCGGCTTCCAGAGGAAACCCCTGTTCTCAATCATAAGGAACTTTACCCCTCCCAACCCCCAACCCTCACACGCTCTTTCTCTGTCCTTCCTTCTCCCTCCAATCCCTCAACACTAGGCAGCCCCTGACCCTAGAGACCAGGAATGAGACACCCCACCACCAACCTCTCCCTGGTCTCCTTGCCATTGGTCTCACTCCACCCCCCAGTCTGGCCTCTGCATGGCCTCAGGGCTTCCATCTCCTGGCTTTGACCTTGCCTCTCCCTTGCTCTAAGCCCCCCTATTGGCTGCAGGGGAAAATTCGAGAAATGTTATTTTCACTCCCATGGGCCCTGTGACGCTTTTCACCCTCATCTTCGTCTCTCATACTTTAGACACAGACCAATCCTTGGTGCACGCTGTCCTTCCTACCTGGAATCCCTTCCTTCTGCTCCTTTGCCAGGTCCTACTTGTCATTAAGGTGTCTTTTCAGAGGTCCATTCCCATCAGACGCCTTCCCCAGTCTTCCTCTTTGGAGCTCCCTTAGGCCCTCGTACTTCAGGCTTTACCCGCCGTGACTTTCCAGTCGGTGACTGTCCTTTTCCAGACCAGGAGCACAGGGGTGTGTCCGACTCATCGCTGGGTCCCTGGCTTCACCCAGCTCAGAAGAATAGATTGTAAATGTTCGCCACATGTCCCCCCCTGCAGCTCTGCCTCTCACTTGTCCCTGCCACTGTCCTGCTGCCTCTCTGCCATTTAACAAATGTTTCCTCACACCTCGTCGTGGGCTGGTGCACTGCTCTCCATGCTGTTAGCCTGGCGACCTCCTGCTCATCCTTCAGGGCCCAGCACCCACTTCGTCCTCTATGAAGTGACCCCTGGTGTCCCAGTGCCCCAGCCGTCCAGTCACAGGTTTCTTCTCTACCTTCCAGCCCTTCCAGCACAAACACCTTCCTTATGTCCTGCCTTGGTCGCCCTCGGGGCCGTGTCCATCTGCCCCCCAGTCTGTGTTGCCTGTCCAACCTAGAACTCCACAGGGGTAAGGTTCTCCAGAACCACCCAGCATGGAAGGTTGAGTTACAAATGTTTGTTGACTCTCTAGCAAGATTGCTTCTGCCTCTGTGTCTCTGTTTGCATGAGCTGCTCCCTCTGCCTGGAATGCCGTTCCCTTTCCTGTCCATCTGACGTGCTCCATGGCCTGTCACCAGGTCCTCCTCCCTCCGGTACCAGCCCTAGCGCGTCCCTTCCCCAACACTGGATCCTCTTGTCCTTGCACATCCCTCCACCACAGGCTCCTGGCTGACTGAGCGTGGACCTGCCTCTCCCTGCCTCTCACTCATCTCCATGGCCCTCGTGTCCAGTGCCCAGCCAGGAACACAGAGGGATCTCAGTGAGTGACAGACACAGATGGGCCTAAATGCACGTTTGGGAATGCTGGTTCCCTTCCAGCTTTGAGCTGCCTTTCCAAGATCCGGGTCTGAAGTGGTCCGCTGTGTGTAAACAGAAATTGGGAGGGTGATGGGTTCTCCTTTCTGTTCCCGCCATGACCAAGGCCCTCCCCAGGACTGCAGGATGTCTTCTCCTCGGTTGCGTGTTGTGCACAGCCTTACTTTTGTCCACAGTGGATGAAGCGTGGCGATGGGCGCAGAGCCAGGGGTTCCACCGGTCTTACCTCATGCCCCACCACCAGAAGGAGCCTTCCTGATAAAACAGTGGGGTGACTCAGTTATTGTTGCCGACACCCTCAGAGGACGGGGCTGTGTCTCACAGGATGCAGCATGGGCCTCGAGCGCCGACTCCCCCATAACCTGCGTACGTGGGTCTGAGTGGCAAAGGGCAGCAGGGGCTCCTCTCATTATTACACCTAAACCCAGGTGCAGAATGTTTGCTTCCCAGCCCCATGACTTTACGCGCTGCTGGGTTGGAGGTCTTGGTTCCCCTTCAGAGGACACAGTGACGGTTCCAGTGAACCGGAAGGTGAGTCTGCCACCTGGCTATTTGGGGCTCCTCCCACCACTGAACCAACAGGCGAAGAAGAGGATTCCTCTAGTGCTGGGGTGGCTGATCTCAGTTACTCAGGGGAGACTGGTTACGTGGCCACAGTGGTGCAGCGTCTAGAACCCAGGGACCTGTGCCAATCAAAGTGCTCTCAATATGTCCATCACCCACTGTTGATTCTCACTCCCTTCCATCTGCTCCTCTCTTTGGTAAATGCCACCACCATTTACCCTGTCCCTCCAGCCAGAACCTCAGAGTTGTCTTAGTTTCAATTCCCCTCTCACCCTTCCACCAACATATCAAGTCCTGGCAGCTCCACCAACTAAATCTACCCTGTTTCCAACTGTTCTCACTACCCCTGTGGCCTCCGCCATCATCACACATCTGGACTGGGGCAGTAGCCACCTCAGAGGTCTCAGCTTCCGTTCTTGCTGCAGGAATTCTCTTAAAATGAGAAGCATGTGCACAAGAAGACCTGTGCAGGACTCTATTTATATGAAGCGCAAAAATAAGCAACATGTGGCCTTGGCTGGTGTGGCTCAGTGGATTGAGTGCCGGCCTGTGAACCAAAGGGGTCACTGGTTCAATTCCCAGTCAGGGCACATGCCTGGGTTGCTGGCCAGGTCCCCAGTAGGGGGCACATGAGAGGCAACCACACACTGATGTTGCTCTCCTCTTTCTGCCTCCCTTCCCCTCTGTCTAAAAAAATTAATAAGTGAAATATTAAAAAAATAAATAGGCAACATTCATCTGTGATAGAAGTCAGAGCAATAGCTACCTCTGGTGGCTCTGAAGGGCTGGGAGGGGGGCTTTGGGACGGGGGCTGAAACTTTATCTGGTGGTGGTTACTTGGATGTATACACCCAGGAAAACTGGACTTCATGCATTTTACTGTATGTGTTTTATATCTTGCTGAAAAAGTTACATGTCATTATACAATTATGTATATTATAATATATAGCATTAGATAAACTCTATAATAGCCATACCGTAATATATTGCATTGTCTACTATATATACACATATTATATATAATACCTAATGTTACCTATATAGTCATGGTGGCCCCCTGCTACTAATTCTCATGGATTCTGTGTCAGTCTTGGATGGACCCAAACAGCAGAAGGAATTGGCTCCTGTGACTGCGGGGCTGGTCAGACCAGTTCCCCACTGGCAGGGCAGGTTGTCTGCAAGGGCAGGTCCCGGGCGTGGGCTGACCTCGCTGTCTGCAAACAGGTTTCTTTTCCAGGAAATGTCAGCTCTGCTCTTTAAGGCCTGTCAACTGACTGAATGAGGCCCCTTATTTAAAGGTAACGGATCATCGGCTTTCGTCCCATCTACAAAATACCTTTGCCGCCACAATGAAATTAGCATTTGAATGAATAATGGCCAAGTTGACCGTCAGACTGACCATCTGACCTTTGAACCCCCCTTGCAGTAAACCTCAAGTCTGCTCTCACTGGAAAGGTCAGCTTCTGGAGGGCTGGGACTTGTGCCTGATTTGTCCAGTGCGGTATGCCCACCAACTACAACAGCGCCCGTCACGTAGTAGGTGCTCAGGAAATGTGACGTGACATGAGTAATGACACCCAGGGTCCCTTTGTGCATCAGGATGTGGAGACATCCTGCATCCTTCTCCTCGGACCTCACAGGAGTGTGGATGCTCTCGCCCCGCAAGGCTGCCCCGAGGGGGAGCGAGAAGGTGTGGAGACCCGTTCTTGCTCTGCCATTCACTCCGAAATCGCTCTCTCTCTGCATCTCAGGCAACTTGTCTGCAAAATGGGGATGCGACTCCCCTTCTTGCTTGCCTCCCTGGGTCGTTGGATCAAGTGGGGGGGAAGGATGTGAAACGACCCTGAAACGCATGCATACCAGAGGATGAAGTCCACGTGCTCACATACGTGTCCTGCCCACCCCGAGGTCCTTCCTGCCTCCAGCTCTTCGTCCAGGCCGTCCCCTTCACCTAGAACACCTTTCCTCCCACTTTCCTCTGCCAACGCCTTTTTACCCTTTAGGATTGTAAAAATCTACTTCCTCCAGGAAGTCTTCTCCCATCTTCACAGGCCGGAGAATCTTGCCTGGTTCGGCTTTGCCTCAAGTGTGTTTCTGCCACATTAATCCACACCCAGGTGTTTGGGAGGTGGCCTAGCCCAGTGGTTCCTAGTGGGAGTCACACTTCCGACTGTCCGCTCACAAGCTACCTGAGCTCAGTTCAAGCAAGTGCCCGTACCTCTCATTGGCTCATCGGTCAGGTGTGGATTGTGACAATAGCCCACCTATGCCTGGCGACTGTTGGGTCCCGGGTACTCCACAGTCAGCCCACTGAGTCCTGACTACAAGCACTGGGAAGTAGGTTTTGTCAGTATCGTAGGTTTTTATTTCCACTTCTGCCTTACTGGCCAGGAAACCCAGGTGCAGAGAGATTCAATAACTCGCCCAAGGTCCCCCCCCCCCAGGCTAAAAGGTAGAGATGGGATTCAAACCCATTCAGCCTGGCTCCAGAGTTTGGGCTCCTAACTTAATGATACACTGCCTCTCGGGTCTCTCATGCTGACACTGTACATCATGTGGTTCCCTGCTGGGGCTGGTCCTAGGATCCCGGGGTGGGGGGGGGGGAGCACAGAAAGCAAGGTCATGGGGTGCTGGGGCCTGGCTGGTGCTCAGGTTTGCTCTTCATGAGGTGCAGGGTGTGGCCGTACCTCCCCATCCTGGGATGCCGGGGACCTCGCCCAATTTCTCCCAGGCCTGCTGAGTCAGTGAGGGCAGGGTGGCCATAGGGAAGTGGGAGGGAGGGAGAGACAGGAATGCAACTCTCGTTTAACATCATTTTTTACATCACAGGGGCTGAAGCAGTGATGGGGGGGCGGGTGTGCCCCGCCCCGAGCATCCTTCTCACGAAGAGGCCGGATGGGTTGTCTAGGGGGAGAGGCGGAGGGCTCCTCCCAGCGCGCCAACCAGGAGGGGAACCACAGGGAGCAGGGCCGCGATGTGGGGGACCAGGGGAGGGGTGGAGGCCGAAGTGGGGGTGAAGGGCTGGGTCGTGGAGTCCCCGTTGCAGAGGTGCCCCTCACAGCAGGAGCCGTTCAGGGCGATGTCCGTCCAGGGGCTCGTGGTGCCCCTGATGGTGCAGGAGGGCCGGTGGCAGGTTCTGATGTACACGGGGACTGAGAAATTGCCTGGAGAGCGCGGGACGACAGAGAGCGGGGCTCAGACCTGAGGGAGGCCAGGGCTACGACTGGGTCCGCGTCCGCGTCCGCGTCCGCACACTTGCTTCCAGTCTCCCCTCTTTGGGCTCGGGCCACGCCTCCTCCCTCGGTCCAGGGTCCTGCCTCCTTCAGGCCAGGCCCCGCCTCCCCCCTTGGAGGAGAACCACAGCTCTTCCTTCAGGGCCACATCTCCTTGTCCCGCCTGCTGTGGTGCCTCTCTGCCCAGCCTCCAGACTCTCCTCCCCTCCCACCCTCTCACCAACGGTCATTTGGCCATTGCCCAGAAAGCAGACGCTTTGGTCCTGGTGACACTGGACCCGTCGGGACTTCTCCGGGGTGCAGTCCTCTGGCTGGGTCCCCACGCAGGAGTAGCATTCGGTGCCACTGAGCGTCGGGGGGTCGGGCGCTGGCAAGAGAGCGAAGTAGACTTGCACTCAGGGTGAGGGTTCTGCGGTTGGTAGCGCGCGCTGCGCGCCGCACCTGGGCGCCCGCCTCTCCAGACCCTGCAGCTGCGGCTGCACGGCCGGTGCGCGCGCGGGGAGGTGCCCCCCACCCTCGCTGCCCCGAGCAGGCCCCGCCCCGCCCCCTCGCCGCCCGTCCACGCCCATTCCCGCCGTCAGGCACACCTGGGCTCAGGTTGGGGATGGTGTCGTGGTTCATGAGGTCATCATTGCACCAGTCGGTCCTGCAGCCACGCACTACAGAGTAGTCGGGCGGCAGCGCGTAGGTGTTGGACAGCATCTCTCCGGTGGACGGGCCCGTCCAGCAGCCTTTCTGTACCAGAGTCACCGAGGCGCGGTACCCTGTGGGCGGGAGGGGATGGCTCTTGGTGCGCTGCCTCCTACTCCCGCCTGCCTCCACCACTCCCACCCCTCCTCTCCCTCTCGCCCTGTCCCCCTCCGCTGTCCACCGGTCCCCCTCTAGTCTCAAGTCTCTCCCTCTCCTCTGCTTCTCCACCCTTTTCCCTCCTGCCCTTCCCTGCCTCCCTCCCACTCAAACTCCACTTTCCTGGCCCCTCCACCCCCGCAGCCCTGCCCCTCTCCTCCCTCGCTCTGCTCTTCCTTCACTGCCTCCTTTCCCCACTCCCACCTCCTCTTCCTGGACCCCTATTGCCTCCTCCTCCTTCCCCACCCCACGCCCTCATCCGTTCTTTTCTTTCTGCTCCTTCCTCTTCTCCGAGTCCTTCCTCCTCGTTCTTCCCTTCATCTCCTACCCAATCCCCCAACCCAGGGCCCTGCTCCTCCCTCCCTAATCTCGCATCCTGTCCCTGCCCCCACCCCTTTCTCTTCTGCACACGCTTCTCTCTCTCTGTCGTTTTTTTCCTGCTTCCTCACCAGTGTCCAGTGACAGGACAGCCTCGGAGCATCCATAGGGACAAGAGATGTTGGCAAGTTTCATGCCACTGAGGTCAAAGGGCCCCAGGTAGGTGTGTTGAAAGCTGTAGCATTGCAGGGCTTGGGACTCTGAGGAGAGGAGCGGGGCTGAGGTGAGGGGAGCAGGCCAGGGATGTACACATGGCAGCCACATGGGCCGGGCTGTTCTCCGAGGGGAGACAGGCCCTGCTGCCTCGGTGGAACCAACCAGGGTCTGCTGCCACCACCAGTTGTGGCCGTTCTACCCAGTGGCAGAGGCGTGGCCTCAGTGCACCTGACAGTCCAGTTTTCCCCGCCGGGCTGTTCCAGGTCTCCATTCTTCCAGGAAGCTTTCCGGGGATTTAAATAAGGAGGAAGTGATTCACTCCTGCTGTGCCCAGCCCTATCCCAACTGCACTCACCAAGGTCAGTTGCAGTTAAAGGTCACTGATGGAAAACAGATACTACAATACAGGCAGTGGGTTGTGCACCCTTGTACTAGACAGACACAGCTACAACCAGGCCCAGTGATACACACACTTAAACACTGAGGTAAATGCAAAAGAACACAATTGACAGGCTTGTGCAAATCTCACAGAGGGACACACAGAATCCTGAAGGTGGCTGGCCATTCACTCACAAAACAACCAGCACTCAGACCCTCCAATAGAAAGCCCCCAGACCAAAGCACAGCACCTCACACATGTGAGATTCTACTCAGAGAAACACATGTCGGTGTGGGACCAATAACCCTACACAGAGACCCAGGGGCACAGGCCTCAGACCCGAGTATCACAGACACACGAGTAAAGAGACCACAGTTGTGTAGTTAGAGGTAGACAAGAAAGACCCACAAAAACATACAATTTAAAATCATAGACAGATACAAGACACAAAGAGACATGAGACTCGGGTACACACAGTGACAGATACGTATCAAAACACCCCAAGCATGTACAGGCAGAGATAAGTATACGCCTCCTGATCGCAGAGATGCACAAATACAAAGAGAGACACAGATGTACAAAATCATACTTGCATCTCTTTTATTAAAAAGGTGAAGCTAATAGAGCAACTGTAACAGCATAATCAATAAAAAAATTTAAAAAGATAAATAATAAATAAAAAGGTGAAGCTAAGAGATAAACACATCCATAAAAGCATTTGCTCCAGCACCCAGGCATCAAAACTTGATACAGAGAAACACACGCAAGCACAGAGACCCACAGGATATGGTCACACACACACACACACACACACACCCAGAGTTATCTTCCACAGATGCACACACATCAGTTGTGAGCAGACACGGGTCTTTCCCACCTCTCCAACTCCTTGTCTTTGTAACCACATCAGTCCCGATGAGTATGTCCCTGTTCTTACCCAAACTGGGGGAAGGAGTGGCCTGAGGATGAGGCCAAGGTTCCCTGACAGTTTTGGAAAGAGCCCCCATCGTTCTCCAGAAGTACCCTTGACTAGGTTCATGGGCAAGGAGAAGGAGAAAGGCTGAAGCACCAGGAAGAGGGGAAAATGGGGAAACTGATGGAGAAGAGAAATGGAGAGGACACGGTCTCCAGACCTCTGCGTGAGCAAGACCCAGGGCTGCAGGCCCCCAGCCCTGCTCCCTCAGACCCGGGGGTCCAGGCCCCCACCAGGCCCCTCCTGTCACGGGGCTCAGAAGTCTGCGTACCTGTCAGGCAGAGCACGACCCCACAGAGGCAGAGCAGGATGGCTCTGGGGACTCCCATTGCCAGGTCCCGGAGCTGAGCAGACACCGTGGACAGCTCCTCCGCTCTGAGCAGGTTCTCACTGCCGGGCTCCAGGCATCCCAGCTTCCCCGCTTGGCAAGATTCCTCCACCCCCGCCCTCCCTCTCCAGGGCTGGTCTCCTCCCAGATATGCAATGCTGAGGCCACGATGACTCCTGGGCACTGTGAAAGGAGGGGTCGGGGGCCTGAACTCCTGGTCTGAAGGAGGAGGTGGCTAGGGAGTTACGATCCTTAATACTGGAGGAGTCTGCATGTTGCTCTCTTTCTACGCTGTTCCCCACACTGTGGTCTAGACTGAGGTTGGCACACGCGGCCTCTTGGTCTCTCTTCTCTTCCTGCACCCCAACACAATGACCCACATTCTCAGACACGCAGAGCCTCCAGTCCTGAGGCCACGTCTCCAGACCCACAGACACAAACATCATGTCTTCCTGGAAGCTTCCAGGACCCCCTCTATCCTCACTCACCCACCCCAACGCAGCAACAAGTACCTCTCTGTCTTCCTGCCGTGTTGACCCTGGATTGGGATATTGTCTGTCTCCCCCATCAGGCTGTGACCTCCTCAGAGGCCTCAGGGGATATTTGCTAAGTTGTGTGAATGAAACAATGAATGTACAAGCAGAGAGGGTGGTAGTGACAGAGAGAGAGAGAGAGAGAGGAGTCCCAGAGTTACACATGTGTGGACGGATGCAAAGGTAGACACACAGACCCACTCAGACACCCCAATGAACGGGCCATGCCCACAGAAGGCATTTAATGTTTATGAGATTAGTAAATGAATGCAATTCAAAAACTGGATGAGGTAGAGACAAGCAGACAACCAGAGGGCGCAGACAGACCCATGGGGACACGCAGACCCAGGGCCGATGGGGACGCCCAGATGGGATGTCCCTGCAGGCAGTAGGAGCTGGGGCAGAGACCCCAGGTCAGCCCTCCCGATGCCCCTCTTGTTCTCGCTTGGAGGAGCTGCCTGCTGGGAGCACATTCACTCTCTGTGCTGTTGCAGGTGGGCACCAGGCACGTGCAGAGACCCAGAGTCACGAATCCACAGATGGAGGGGACAGAGTTGACAACAATTGCAGTGGCCAGGACAGACTTAACTGTCCTCTGAGCTTGACTAAATTTTGCATATGTTTCTTCCTCACTGTAAATATGCCACCCCCCTTTCCTTTACTTAGAGCATTTACTTTAGAAAACTTGTCATTGCAAATTGTCGAAATGTAGGTAAACCTTCTCCCTGCCTCTTGCCAGTTTTACCACCCAGGAATGCCTTTCACAGTGACTTGGGCACCACCCCTTTGAAATGTCATCACCCAGGAAGATGGTATCTCTTCTCCCAGCTCTGCAGGAGGGTAGGAGCTGACTTTGACTAAGTGACAATTAGCAAGTCCAGATGGCCCAATCACAGGGAAAAAGCCTTTGCAAACTCAAGAGTGACTCTATACGCTGGACACATCCAGTGGACCAAGCTCCCTCTCGCCATCCTCCAGCTTCCTTCCTTCCACTAGCCCCTCCAGAGCTTAAAACCCTTTCTACCCTTTGTTTATGTGGAGTTGAGTTCAGTCACTCTCCCCTATCGCATGGTCTTGAAGAAAGTCTCCTGTGCCTCTTTGCCTTCGTTTGGTGCAATTTTCTTCGACGGTGGACACCCAGGCATTGCAGACACTCCCCAGGGCTCTGGACTCTTTTGGGCATAGCCTCGCTCACCCTCAGTTTGCCAGACTCCTGCCCCTCCCATTACGCCTCAGTCCCACCCCTCCCAACCTGTTTTGCATCCAAATTTTAATTCCTGCTTCTTTTGTCCCTGCTGCAGGCTGTCTGTCTGGGGCTGGGCACGCAGGTTTTGGGAGGAGCTCAGGGCCCCTGGAAAGTGGAGGCTGGCCAAGGAAGAAGACTGGGGTTTTGGAATCCCTCGTGGGAGGTGAAGACTTTGCAGGCGTTCACAGGGGTTCCCTGATTCAGACGTCAAGGCTTGAAGAGTTGCCAGACCGGCCCATTATTGTGTGAGTGAGTGTGTGTGTGTGATCGTGTGTGTGGCTGGGGGTGTGTGATTCTGATTCTGGTAACTTCAGGTATTTTTGGAGGCTGTGGGGAAGCTCCCCATTGCAGGTGATCAAGGTCAAGTGGAGACCAGTGATCTGGGTCTAGGGATTTGGGCAGGGTCCTGGCACCCACAGAGAGCGGTACAACCTGAACTCCGAGTTCCCTGTGAACCCAGGGATTCTTTTTTTTTTTTTTTGGTAGACTCTTTGTAGGAATTAAACTTTAGAAATTAAGTAATTAATTAAGAGATTGGGCAAAGTGAGGATGTTTTGTCATAGCCATTAAGGTGCTATTGTAAAAACTTTTTTACTGTAGATATTCTCAAGCACACATAAATACACAGGAAATAGCATACTCACCACCCAGACTCAATTTTTATTATATTATATTATATTATATTTTTAATTATATCTTTTAAATTATATTTTAGTGATTATGCTATTATAGTTGTCCTGAATTTCCTCCCCATTGCTCCCCTCCACCCAGCACCCCCACTCCCTTAGGCAATCCCACACCAGTTTATGTCCATGGGTCATGTCTACAAGTTCTTTGGCTATTCCATTTCCTGTACTTTACATCCCATGACTATTTCGTAACTACCTCTTAGTACTTCATCCCTCACCTCTTCATCCATTCTCCCAAAGTCCCTTCCCACCTGGCAACCAGCAAAACGCTCTCTACATCCATGATTCCATCTCTATTCTTCTTGTTTGCTGAGTTGGTTGTTTAGATTCAATTGTTGATAGATAGGTATTTATTGCCATTTCATCGTTCATAGTTTTGATCTTGTTTTCTTAAATAAGTCCCTTTAACAATGCATATAATAATGGCTTGGTGATGATGAATTCCTTTAACTTGACCTTATCTGGGAAGCACTTTATCTGCCTTTGCATCCTAAATGAAAGCTTTGCTGGATAGAGCAATCTTGGATGTAGGTCCTTGCCTTTCATAACTTCAAATACTTCTTTCCAGCTGCTTCCTGCCTGCAAGGTTTCTTTTTGAGAAATCAGCTGATAGCCTTATGGGAACTCCTTTGTAGGTAACTATCTCCTTTTCTCTTGCTTCTTTTAGGATTCTCTCTTTATCTTTAATCTTGGGCAACTTAATGATGATGTACCTTGGTGTGTTCCTCCTTGGGTCCAACTTCTTTGGGACTCTGGGCTTCCTGGACTTCCCGAAAGTCTATTTCCTTAGCCAGATTGGGGAAGTTTTCCTTCATTATTTGTTCAAATAAGTTCTCAATTTCTTGG